ATATGTGTTGAAGCAATTAATTCATCCCAAATCAGTAACTTAGTTTATGAGAACAAAGACACCCCCATAACTTCCCACTTCCCTGAAAGTACCAAACTTGATACAATTTATCAAGGAAGCAAGATGGAAAGATTTATTGAGAGTAAACATCCCACTGAAAATATGACCAGAACACCATTTCATTTTTGCACTTTCCCTCCCAGCCCTTGTCTGTATGCGTAAGTTAGGTATGATTTAGTGTATTGTAATCACAAACATATGATTTGAGGCTTCAGTGTTTTACATTTATCATCATGTTGTAAGCACTTTTCTCTGTCATTTCATAGCCTTTACAACTACCATTGATAATAGATGCATGGGGTCAAATTCTCACAGACCGCCAGGTAAACCAATGCTGTTGGTAAGATCTGTGATTTCCTGAGGGGACTGTTTCACGTGGGCTCCATAGCTCAGTGGTTAGAGCACTGGTCTTGTAAACCAGGGGTCGCGAGTTCGATCCTCGCTGGGGCCTCCTGTCGGCTTGCTTTTATTTTAATCCATAGTATTTAAATACGGAATAGAGTCCAAAATGGAAAACGTGATTTCCGAAAACGTTACTCCTAACAGAGTTAAACATTAGTTCCCCTGAAATGCAAATGAGGAGCATCCTTAACGTGCTTTAGAAGTGACCCGGAAGAGAAAATCCTGGACCCCCCAACAAGAAGCAGGCAAGGGCAGGAGGAGGGGGAAACTGGCTCGGCAGCCCCAGTACTACCGGACCTGCAGGCCGGAGTACCGGAAATGGAGGCTTGAGGCTAACGCCCTGCACACAGACACCATTCCCTCAATGAAAACCAAGTGGAGGCGGCGGCCTTGGCAGTGAACTCGGCTGCTGGCTAACAGGACGGGCCATGGCGGCGCCGCGGCTGCAGTTACGGCGCGTGGCCGGCGGGCGGCGCTGTGGCACCGCTCCCCATCGCCTCCTGGCAGGCCGGCGGCTGCGCTTCTCCACGCCCTGCCAGGGCGGAGAGCTCGGCCAGAGTGGCCCGGACGCTAGCCGGCTCTGTGGCTGACACGTGGCAGCCCAGGCCCGACAGCCCGGCCTGGCTCCAAGGTCCTGCCCCTTCCGAGGCGACTCCCAAAAATAGTCCCAGGTTGCTTGGGAAGCCAGTGTTTGCAGCCTTTCTGACTCTCTGTGTTTTCCCTAAATTCCTCAATGCCGCGTGACTACAGAGTCACCAGAGGAAAGTGCCAACAGCCTTTTTTCTGACCACATGAATTTTTCCAACCCAGGATTTCTTTTCCCAGATCTGAGGGCCAGAGCTTGATAAAGGACTGTGTGTAAAGACGCCACAAGCCGCGTGTGGCCGCTGGGTGCTTGAAATGTGGCTAGTCCAAATGGCGATGTCCTGAAAGAGTAAAATACACATGGAATTTAAAAGACTTGGAACCGAAACAGGATGTAAGCCATCTCACTAGTAATTTTTGAATTGATTCCATGTTGAAATATATTGGATTATATAAAATAGAGTGTAATTAAAATAATTATAAAAAAATTGTATAATTACAATTAACTGTATTTTTTTTTTTAATGTATCTACTAGAAAATTTTAGGTTACATTTGTGGCTCCCATCTGCAGCTCTCATTTATCTTTCTGTTAGATAGTGCAGGTTAGGGACCCAGAGTCCTCTGACCTTGCGTCTAAGTTAATTCTTAATCTGGCTCCCACTAAGTAAACTGTAATAGCCAGAGAAAGTCTCTTTCATCTCTGGGTCTCCCCGGAGTCAGTACTGTGCCTGACAAGCAGTAAGCACAGCCTTCGTTGAGATGAAATTAAATATCTCCCCGACAAGCTCTTTAAAGCCAGGGAACTTATCTCTTTTTTTTTTCTTTTTCTTTGTTGGTGGTGGTGGTGGTGTTTTTGTTTTTTTTTTTTTTGAAAGGGAGTCTCCCTCTGTCGCCCAGGGTTGAGTGCAGTGACTTCATTTTGGCTCACTGCAACCTCCACCTCCCAGGTTCAAGCGATTCTCTTGCCTCAGCCTCCCAAATGGCTGGGATTACAGGTGCCCGCCACCACGCCCAGCTGATTTTTTTGCATTTTTAGTAGACATGGGATTTTGCCACATTGGCCAGGCTGGTCTCGAACACCTGGCTTCAAGTGATGCACCCGCCACGGCCTCCCACAGTGCAGAGATTACAGGTGTGTACCACTACAAGGAATGTGTTTCTTAAACTGAGTTCGCTTTGGGAGTGATGCAACTGTAAGACTTTCTGTTTTGGCTTGCAATATTTTAGATCTAGGAAAACACACTCAACACCCTCATACTTTGTTAATTATTTTGGCCCTCTGTGGTCAGGATATCTACTGCTAGCAATGCTGTGGAGGTGAAGTGTTCACAGTGCCTTGAGGGCACAGGACCCACTGATGCAACAAAAATACCATATTATCGCAAAAGCATTAGCCCTTTACTAACACACTGAATGCCTTTTGGCAAAGCCATTTGGGATCCTTGAATACCTTAGTTCCAGGACTACTTACTCTGAGTTACTTGGTCATCAAGTAACAAAGTAGTAAGAAAGAGAAGTTTTTGAAGCTCTCTAATCCCATCTCCCTCCAGTCATTGCCAGTCGTCATCATTCCTCTCCCTTCCCCTGACACAAACTGATCTCTAGAAAGAGCAAGTACCTGCACATGTGTATTTTTCAACCCTCCGAACTTTTCAACACCTTAGGCTGTAAGGAAGAGGAATACATTTTGGCTTTTCGATGCCCTAGAGATTGTTTTCTAACAGTCCTAGACCCTCCCAGGAAGGCTCACCGGCATCACCAGGCATCCTTCCAGAAAATAAAGCCACTTGCTAGAGAAAAACACTCTGCCTCTCCCCGAGCTTTCCAACATTTCAGAGGCCCCATTCGGTTTCCTGGTCTAGACCCATGCAATACCCTCTAGTGCGAAACCAGTGTTCCAAATGCTTTGAATTTGGTGTGTGCGATCCTTTCCGTTGATACATGAATTTTGAGGATTTTCCCCCAGCTCAAACACTTCCAGTCCAGACTGTATTTTTGCCCCATGTATTTGAAGAAAGACCATATGAGCAAAGAAAGCAGAGTGGGCTCAAACATTTAGTCCAGAGGTTAGATCCAATCTCCTTGAACTGGCCTGGGGTTTTCAGCTCTTCCAACAAAATAACCCTGGGTTAATCCCCTCCACCTTTAAGTTGCTGTCTTCATCTGAGAAGAAGCTAAAAGTGTGAAATATCAAGTTGGTTAGACTCTGAAGTTCATTTCGATCCTAGAGAGTATACATAAGCGCTACAAAGGTAGGCAAGGAAAACTAAAACTATGAAAAAGGCGAAGGAAGAAAACTTGAAGACAATCAAAAAAAATGATCTGCAGAAAACGATGACTGGTGTTTAGCAGCTTCCATAAAGACAGAACAAGAGAAAAAGAATCAGAGAGGTTTGATGGATTCCTGTTAGGTAAGGTTACCTAAAGCAAAAAGATGGAAACTGCTTCTATGGAAGTCTTTAAAAAAAAAATCTATCCAGAGTATGTCCAATCCTATCTAAAATAGTGATCATATGACCTTAAAAGTTAACAACCTGGTATTTTATGCTTTTGTTCTCTTTAAACCAAATTGTCTACACTCTTCTGGATGTTTTGCATAATATGAAGAACTTGATGAATATAGGGACCATTTCCTCTGTTAGTTCTTCAATCCTCAGATACATAGTTCAAAAGTCACCATCCTTCATTGAGGGCCTCCATGAAGGCAGGTGCACAGCAGATTGCAAGGGGGAATTGGTTCTAGTCCAACTGAACTGTTCCCTGTTCCCTTACACCACTGTGATACAGTCACTTAACCTCACAAAGCTTCACTTTTCTCATCTTCAATGGAGGTTTTATGGCAACAGAGAAGAACAAGGCTTTGAGGTTTCAAGATAAGGTATAAGCTTGGCACATAGTAGGTATTCAAATAAAATGTAGTTAAGTTTATTATGCTATGTGCACAATAAAGCCAAATAGTGAAACTTCCTTTGCAAAGATTATAACAGTGAGAGAAGCCTGGCATGGCTGACCCCCTCTTGCCTCTAGCCTCACGGGCTGGCTGTCCTCACTCATTCCTGACTGAGGCCAAGCTAACCATGGGAGGAATTTAGTTTATTGTTTAACTTTGAAGCAAGAATTATAATAGTCCCTCCCTCCCTAAAACTAACTCCCTCCTTGCTCAGGGACTGAAGCTGCCTTTGTAAAACTGATGGAAGGCCACTAGATTATGGGAAGGGCCTGAATTCTGCTAAAATGTAAGCATCGTTTCTATAATCCCTTACTGCTCAGGAGTCATGTGGTCAGAGGTCACAAGGTTTATGACTTCTCCAGTTGCTCCTATAGATAACATCACTATTGTAGCACCTAAGATTGGTCTTTTGAGATGTTTTTCAGATGGTTGCACCCTGGAAACCAACTAACCTATCCAGCTTTGTGATTCATCACTCAACATTTCATGTGGCCCCGATCCAGAGGCAGACTCAGTGCACAAGGACTGTTCCTCACACCCCTATGATTTCATTCTCAACCAATCAGCAGCACACATTCCCTAGCCCCTCCCCCCACCAAACTATCCATAAAAACTCCAGCCTCTGAGTTCTCTGTGAGACTGATTTGAGTAATAACTCCAGTCCTTCTAGTTGGCAGCCTCTGTGTTAAACTGTTTTTCTACTGCAATATTGTAGTCTCAGTGAATTGGTTTTGTCTGTGCACTACACAGGAAGAACCTGTCAGGCCATTACTGTAGTAAGTGCTGGAGGTACAGAACTGAACCTGCTCTTGTTCACTTCATGAGCTTTGGGCTGGGGAAAGGAGATACCACATTTAAAGGGTCTTTCCTTGTAAGCTTGTCACAGGCTTCCTCTTAGACCTGGGGTGAAGCAGGAGGGTGAAGTATGGTTCTTATGCAAGTGTGGTACAGCATGCTAGATTTCCTAATGTCAAACAAATATCCAGGATATCAAAGGATATGTGTCAGTTTGAACAAGTGTTGATTTATTACCTCAGAATGTAGGCATTTACAAAACAAAATGGAGACATCCAGTGTGATTCCAAGCAGGCTCATGGACTAGTGCTCACCATAACCCAGGTGCACCAGCAATCTGGGATATGGTCTCCTACAGAAGCACTGCATCCAGAGAAGGTGCATTTATTTATTCAGCAGATAGCAAGATTTCCCAGGGAGAGGAAAACCACCCTGCCCCACCTCTATCCTGGCTTCCCAGACTTCTAAGGTCTTTATTCAGCAGTGACTCTCATTTGATGAGGTGGCTCTCCTCTCTCACGTCACCCTGTCAGCCACCTTGACCAATGGCTCACGGGAGACTTCTGCCAGCTCGCCTCTGCTCTGCTGATGGCCTCATCCTGCCACTGTGGCTTTTCAGGCTCTTCCTCCTCTTGCCCTGGGGGACTTGGGGCCCCACTCTGGCTTTCTTCTTTGTACCAGGCCCTCGCAGGGTATTCTTGCTGCTTGTAGGAGAAGCCAGCTTCTTGGAGGAGCCTTTCTGAGACAAACCCTGGGCTGGGCCGGAAGCTAAGGTTGCAGATTTTCTAGCAGCTTTCTCTGATTGCTCCTTTAGCAAGTCCAAGACTGTCTCTGAGAAATCAGCATTTATTTAGTGAAAAATATAAGTCCCAGAAAGTAGCTATAAGAGAAACCTATAACTGCATTAGAGTTCTTTAATATAAATTCTTTTTATTAATACTTTTTAATTCTCTAACTGGCCTTGATCTAAATATATGAGCTTTTTAGAAGGGTCACTCCAGTGATACATGATTCTGTAATAGTTTCCTTAAGATAGTATCCTTCCTCTGTAAGTCTTTCCTGACTCCCCACCCTGCCCCAAGGAAACCCCACCCTGCCCCAAGGAAACATTCCTCATTCTAGGGGCCCTCTCAGTGCCCTGAACATCCTTCTATACCAGAACATTACTGCTACATTTATTTCTTTATTTGCCTGTACTTCCCATCCCCACTCCTATTTAACTCTGAATTCCTACACGTCATAGGCTTTAAGTGTTCATTGTTGTATCTCTAGGGATAAGCATAGTTCCTGCCACAAAGTATGAAATGAATGATGCCAAATGAATGAATATATGAACGATTAAATGAATGAATCAACAAATGAATGAATGAATGAGTGAATGAATGAATAGAGGAAACCAGTCACAGTAGAAGCGGGTATCCTCACACTCGTAACTCCTCTGTTATGCAGAGGAGATGTATAGACTGAATTTCCCTCAGGGGGTAACTAAGACTCCACCGTGGGAATTATGGCCTGCTTGCTGAGGGCACTGCCTTAGCCTCCACACCAGGGCCTGAGCCTAAGACTCAAAGATGGACTCACTGGCGAGTGGTTTGAACGGGATCCGCTTACTCTTGGTTCTCACCGGCACTGGCTTGTATTTGCACTTGCCTGGGGGTGCCCGCCTAAAAACACAAACAGAAAGCATGAGGACGCAAGACTCTGAAGACGCAACCAGAGAATCAAGGTCACCAGAGGGTGTATATTTGCAAGAATTGGGGTCAGCCTTTACTTATCCATGGGGATGGGGTAGATGTAATACGAAATATGCTATGAGCTCAGAAGGAGAGGTAAAAGGGCACAGACAGAACAGGGCACCTCAGGCCCTTGAGAGACAGTGCAGAAAGGGAGTTAGGAGTATGGGCATGGTGGCAGTCAAAACGGGTTCACATCCTTGTAATCAGGGGCAAATAAACCTTGCTAAGTCTCAGTCTCCACATCTATAAAATGCAAAACCTAATATTCCCCATCTTCCTAGGAACAGTGCCCAGCACATAACAAGAGTTCACGGATGAGGCTGATGATGAGCATGATTCTGCTGCTGCTTCTGATGGTGGTGCTGGTGACTCCCTTTAAAGAAAATGTCTTCAAGAACTCAAGGCACAGCCCTTAGACAATGCCTGCTTCTCTGCCTAGTAACACACACATTCTTAAACTGCTTGTCCCCGGGTGCATCTTCTGAAATAAAAGGGACTTTGAGGACAGAGAGTACTTCCACTGTAGAGAGCAGAGCTGGAACTTCCCAGCCTGTCCCCATTGCCTTCTCTGCCTTGCTCCAACTCTATCTCTCACTGCCATCCTCCCAACTCCAGATGGAGGGGAAAAATAAGGTAATTGTATTTATTTAACAAACACTTATGTAGTGCTTAGGCACTATTCTAAATACTTTGCAAGTATTAACTCACTGAGTCTTCCTAACAATGCTGTGAAGTAAGTACTATTACTATACTCATTTTACATAGGGGAAACTGAGGCTCACACAGGCTAAGAAACAGGCCCAAGGCCACACAGTTAGTCAGTGGCAAAGCCAAGATTCCAAGCCCAGGCTCAAGTCCGTGTTCTCAACCACTGTATTTAGCTACCCCTAAAGGAATGGTAGGAGGAAAAAAATGGGAGGGAGAAATGGATACATAAATTAGTCAGGTTGCCCTCAAAATGCTGGGAGTGATGCATTTAGTGCAAAGACAAGCTGAATAAGTAATCAGAGCAGAATCTGGTCCACTTATAGAAGTTTAAAAAGTCTAATGTGATTCGATATAGTTATAACTGAACGGAGGGAGTAGCACTGAAATGACCTGTCCACAAAGAGAACTGAGTTCCTATTCCAGGCTCGTCTTACTAGCTGCACCTGGGGCAAGTAATTTAACTTAACTAGCCTTCAGTTTCTTTATCCATAGAGTGAGATGTTAACCTGCCTGGTTGGAATTCTGTCAGCATTAAATGATAGCCCACATGCATGGCACTTAGCACAGTGCCTGGCACACAGGAATAACTCCATAAATGTCAATTTTTTTAAAAAAGGTGAACGAGTAAGGATGTCTTCAGTGTGAAAATGCTTTATGGGCGCTTTCCATATGGCTTCTCACAGCTGCTCTTGTGAAAGTGGGGAGTTAAATTATCTGCCAGCTAAATCAGAAAACTGCCAAAGAAAAATGGATTCACATAGGAAGCCTATTAATGGAAAGAGAACTCCCCACCAAGGCATCATCAACCATCAGAAGCACTTGAAAGACCCTGAGTCTGCTCCAGCTCCTAAGCCCAGGATATGTGCACAGAAGCAGACCCAGCAGTGGAAACAGCCCAGTATTAAATTCACCCCTTGGCTATCCGCCCTCCACCATCCGCACATCACCCCGGGCACAGCCTCAGGGACGGAGCCTCTTCCAGGAACTTCCAAGAATACACAAGCTGAGAGCCCTGTGGCCAAACAGAAGCTGAGCTAGAGCTGGCCCCAAAGCCCTAACCAGTGGCTGGACCTATTTGCCTCATGTCTGCTATATGCCAATCCAGATGTGGGTAACATAAGCCTCAGGGGAAAATTTTCTTCTGTAGGTCTATCTGTAAGCTAATTCAGGGGGAGATTTTCTTGCTTTGGCAAGAATTTTCAGATAAATCTAGAGCACTGGGGCAGGGTGCGTGGTGGCACACACCTGTAAATCCAGCACTTCAGGAGGTCGAGGCAGGTGGATCACTTGAGTCCAGTAGTTTGAGATCAGGCTGGGCAACATGGCAAAACCCCATCTCTACTGAAAATACAAAAATTAGCCGGGTGTGGTGGTGCATGCCTGTAATCCCAGTGACCTTGGGAGGCTGAGGCACATGAATAGCTTGAACCCAGGAGGCAGAGGTTGCAGTGAGCCAAGATCGTGTCACTGCAGTCCAGCCTGGGAAACAGAGTGAGATTCTATTAAAAAAAAAAAAAAAAAAAAATTCTAGTGCACCGCCCAGACTCCTCAGGATGGATACACTGCATCACCCTCCCCGGGGCAGATAACCTGACCCAGACCCAACAACCTCTCAAGCGGGAAGTGGTATTGTGCTTTTGCCTGTGCTGGTGGAGGTTGGTCAGCCTCTGAGAGAGATAAGCAAAGAAGCAGAAGGAAACAGCATAGAGCCCAGCAAGTGAATAAACACTAAACTCCAGAAAAGGTCAGCTGGAGCTACTAAGGAACTTGGCAGTTAAATGTATTTGCCAAAGACCTGGAGATCTGCACCAAGCCCAGGGGACAGGGGAGCAGTACTTACTCAGGTGCTTAGAGGTGTATGCCTGTTGTTAGATGACCTCAGACAGACACTTCCAGAAGCATATTTAAAAAAAAAAAAAAAATAGCCTGTCATGGTGGCTTACGCCTGATATCCCAGCACTTTGGAAGACCAAGGCAGGTGAATCACCTGAAGTTGGGAGTTCGAGACCAGCTTGACCAACATGGAGAAACCCCATCTCTACTAAAAATACAAAATTAGCTAGCTATGGTGGTGCATGCCTGTAATCTCAGCTACTTGGGAGGCTGAAGCAGGAAAATCGCTTGAACCTGAGAAGCGGAGGTTGAGGTGAGATAAGGTCGCACCATTACACTCCAACCTGGGCAACAAGAGTGAAACTCCATCTCAAAAAAAAAAAAAAAGCCACAGACCTAGACTAGGTCAGAAAACCCTAGAAAGACTCAAGGTCTTCATGTCCAACTGCAAAGAGACCGTTTCCCAAGTATTTCATAATTTCTATAGACTCATTGTCCTATGCCGTTATTTGTCCAAACAACTTTTCATCTAGAACATGAGTTTGCTTCATCAATAATTTTTGGTAATTTGAGGGACAGTGAAGATTGTTTTTATGGCCTGCCATGGAGATAAGAAATGAGAAAAATGCATTTGAGAAGAAAATGACATCAAATCTCACCTTGAGGGGTCAACAAACTTGTAAATAGATCCATGTGGTGCATAGGCACTTGGGTAAGAGGTTGCCAGGAAATACAGCTCCCCTAAGGCAACAAAAATAGACAGGCAATAATGGGACATCAGGCAGCACTGAGACACAGAACTGGATGCACAGAAAATGGTCAAAAAGAAGTTATGGCCCTAAAATGCAGTGAGCCCCAAGAATGGAATCCCAGAAACCTAACTGACGTCTGCTTCGCTGGGCTGTGAGCTCCTTGAGGAGAAAGTCCATCTTCGAACCCCCAAAGACTAGCTGAGTGTATGGCCTAGCAGAGGTAATTTCATGTGTATGTTTGTTTATCAAACCAAACAGCTTTCTCCCTTATCACCTCCTTGCTCTCAGAAACTTCACCTCCGTGAATCTCCATTTCCTTCCTTACCTCTTTCCTCTGTGAACACTTGGATACACACAGTCTGCAGGCTGAGGACCATCTGTCAATCGCTTTATTTTGTCCCTTCTTTAGTCGTTTTGTTTCCCTTCAGCCTTACTCCCATTTTCCTCTTTCATTCCGTCCTTGAGTTCCTTATTTCCTGGTGACCCTCCCCACTCTCCACCTCTTCTCTTGGTCTTTTCCATGTCCCACAAAAATCACCTCTACCCACTCTCTCCTGTATCTCTCTGATGTGGTTTGGCTGTGTCCCCACTCAATCTCAATCTCATCGTGACTTATAGCTCCCATAATTCCCACGTATTGTGGGAGGGACCCAATGGGAGATAATTGAATAATGGGGGCAGCTTCCCCTATACTGTTCTCCTGGTAGTGAATAAGCCTCATGAGCTCTGACGGTTTTATATGGTTTTATAAGAGGAAATCCCTTTCTCTTGGCTCTCATTTGCTCTCTTCTGCCACCATGTAAGATGTGCCTTTCACCTTCCACCATGATTGTGAAGCCTTCCCAGCCATGCGGAACTGTGAGTCCACTAAGCTTCTTTTCCTTTGTAAATTACCCAGTCTCAAGTATGTCTTTATCAGCAGTATGAAAACGGACTAATACACTCTTAGAAAGAGCCCCACTCCTTCCCATTTCTGCCACTTGGAGCTCTGGGAAACGTTCTTTTCTCACAGTAACTACCTCATTCCACCTTGCTGTCTAGTTATTTGTGAGGGACATTATGCTGTGGGGTCATAAGCCCCAGTGGGGAGCCCCAGAAGTCTGGTTTGATTTCTGATAACACCAGTTCCTCTCCATGCTATTTTGGGAGACGTCTTCACCTGCACAGCCCTCAAGATATTTATTCATTTGTAAAATGGGGATCACAATGCCTCAAGTGATTGTTAGGTATTCAATTCGAAAGTGTTAGATAACCAGGCTGGCCCGGTAGCTCACGCCTGTAATCCCAGCACTTTGGGAGGCTGAGGCAGGTGGATCACCTGAGGTCAGGAGTTTGAGACAAGCCTGGCCAACATGCAAAACCCCCCTCTACTAAAAATACAAAAATTATCCGAGCATGGTGGCGCATGTCTGTAATCCCAGCTATGCAGGAGGCTGAGACATGAGAATCACCTGAATCTGGGAGGCATAGGTTGCAGTGAACCAAGACTGCATCACTACACTCCCAGTGCAGTAGGCAACAGAGCGAGACTCTGTCTCCAAAAAAAAAAAAAAAAAGTGTTCGATAATCGTAGTTATTATTACTTTCTCATCTCTCTGACCCAATGTTTGTGCCATTACACTGAATTAAATTCACTTGCTGTTATGTGCCTTACACAACTCTTTCTCAATTTTATGAAAGAAAATGTCTATTAAGTTGCAATTCTGAAAAACCTAAAGCTTTATACAGCTCTGGGTTATTTAAACAACTGATTTTTTTTTTTTTTTAAGACAAGGTCTTGCTCTGTTGCTGACTGGAGTGTAGTGGCACAATCACGGCTCACTGTAGCCTCCACCTCCTGGGCTCAAGCAAACCTTCTACCTCAGTCACTTGAGTAGCTGGGACTACAGGTGCATGCCACCACATCAGGCTCATTTTTTAAACTTTTTGTAGAGATGGGGTCTCCCTATGTTGCTCAGGCTGGTCTCAACCTCCTGCACTCAAGGAATCCTCCCAGCTCAGCCTCCCAAAGCAGTAGGATTACAGGCATGAGCCACCACACAACAGCTCTAAACAACTGCTTTTTGTGGAGAACAGAGACCAGTGTTTGTCTTGTGCTAAGTGTGAGCCTCTTAGTCTTTGCATAGCCACTACACAGGGTAGCAGCTGCCTAACAGACTATGCTTTGTGTACTGACAAACTAAATTTATAGTCTTCCCCATGTAAGAGATCTGATGAATTAGGGCACACCCTCCTTCAGAGTCAGTTTGCTCCGTCCGAATTGGAACCCCAGGCACCATCTGGAGTGATTCTACCATTCGATAAATGTGGTGTCTAAGAAAGGCCCACGAGTACATAGGCAGGGGCCCCTCGAGGCCATGCAAAGGCCTTCCTAGTCTAAAAAGAAAATTGAAAACCCTGCCTATGCAGGACTGCAGTTTGTGTAAATTATATGTCTTCCACATTCCATAGACTTCCCATTTTATTTTTAGGTTAAAACAATGCTAGAGGTGAATTTCATCTATAGTTTCCAACTGATATTTTTAATATATGTCTTAGGGGAAAAAAACAAAAAAAAAACTATAATATGCCATGTAAAACAAAAATGCATGCTATACAAATTTACTGCAAACATAATTCATTTGACCAGCCCTCTTGGGAATGTGCTTCAGTGACTGACTTTCAGAAATCCCATCAATGAATCCTCAGCAATGGGCAGCTCCGCACCAGCCATTCGCTCAGCAGTAATTCATACCAGCTATCAACTCTCAGGACATGACCCAGGACGTGAACTGTAGCCATAGGTGAGGCAGAGCTCGAGTTCCAAGTAAAAGGTGACTTACCTAAAGCCAGTGGACTGGTAATAAAATAATAAAATAATGCTCAGATCTAAAAATGCCTCTCAGAGGAAAAGAATATGCCAAGAGCAGAAAATATGAATCAGTTTATGCAAAAACACAAGAGCAAGCAACTCCGGGGAAAAAATAATAATAATAACCTGCCTCAGGAACAGCCTCATTAGCCTCAGGGCCGCCCTTGGGCAAAGGCTTGGGAACACTCTGGCAAGTCTACCCCATAAAATTCAGCCAAGGACTCTGTTTTGTTTGCCAGATGTACCATGACTGGTTTTTTTTGGCTTTTTTTTTTTTTAACTGTTTTCTACTGTGAGACATCTACAAGCACAACAAACCAAGTCACCAAAGCCAAGAACAGCCACAGAAGATGGCAGCCCAGGATCCCTGGGCAGACTCGGGGGGTCCAGCCTCTGGGGGGGTTTCACCCACGGCGGTGTCCGGCAGAGGAGAAGCCCCACCACCGCCTGTAGCTTTCACGTCACTCTCTTTCCACTGGCCATCATCCTGCCAGCTTGTGGTTTCTCTCCTTTTTCATATGTTTGGACTTCCAATTTGAAACTCACATAGACTTTTTTCTGTTAAAATACTTGAAGTTTCCAAAATTCTTGAAGTTTCCTCTGCTCCTATAAAACATTCATCTCAAACTATCCGTTCATCAGCTAACTGAGAGGAAAGGGTCCGGGAGATGACTGGGTCTCCTTATATCCTACTCAAGTGAAGGTCCCAGGCAGCCACCTCACAGCCCAGAGGGGAAAGAAACCAAATATTTCAGAATCCTTTGAGACTCTGGTTTATACCTACAGAGAATCTTTTTTTTTCTTTTTTTCTTTTTGATTGGTTTTGTTTTCTGTTGTTTAATTATTATTTTTTTCCACCTATACAGAATCTAGATGTGGAAGGGACCTTGAGAGATCACCTTATTATCTCTGCCTCTAAACATGATGATATCTAGTGCCAAATACTGGAAAATTCACTGTCCTCAAATAAAACAAAACAAAAATATTTAAAATTTGAAAACTTTATCTTTCCGAGTGAAACATAACTTATGTAAAGCTGAAGTTAAAAATCGGTTTTCTGATGATAAAATGTTTGGAAACGTATTAGAACTGAGTCTCTCTGGGTCTCTCTCTCATGTACATGTGCACATCATGCTTCACTGAAGCCCTTAACACGTGCCTAGTCTGTCTATTGAGGGACCTCCTACCTAGATGTCTACCTTTTTCTCAGATTTCTAAATAAATAAATAAATAAAATCCTCCTTTGCTCACAAACTCCTGGCAAGGTCAGGAAAGAGCCTGGCCCAACCAGTGAGATGATCACTAGAGGCCCGTTTCCCAGACAGCACCGGCAGCATAAACACCCACTGCCCATTTAGTCTGGTCCACTGTTGGCCCTTTCCACATTCCTAGAACTGCGGTTCAGCATAGATCTCCCCCTCACAGTGAGTTGTGTGGTTCAGCCTGGAAGGAGTAGGCTGGCATATTCAGTCTGTTTCTTCATTGGTGAAATGAGCATTATAATTACATCATGGGGCCAGGCACCGTGGCTTACGCCTGTAATCTCAGCACTTTGGGAGGCTGAGCGGGCAGATCACCCAAGGTCAGGAATTTGAGACCAGCCTGGCCAACACAGCAAAACCCCATCTCTACTAAAAATACAAACATTAGCTGGGCGTGGTGGCAGATGCCTGTAGTCCCAGCTGCTTGGGAGGCTGAGGCAGGAGAATTGCTTGAACTCCGGAAGCGGAGGTTGCAGTAAGCAGAGATGGCACCACTGCTCTCCCTCCTGGGTGACAGAGCAAGACTCTGTCTCAAAAAAAAAGGAGAAAAAATCAAAAGTAATTTTATCATGGGGGTGTTATGATTACGAAATAAGGTGAAAAACATGACGTGCTTAGAATAGTATCCAGTACATTATAAAAGATGACTAAGTGATAGTGATCATAGTAGAAGTGATAATTACTATTTAAAATAAACGTTTAGTTGATGCCTGTGATTATCCAAGTTCCAGGAAGTAGAAATCAAACAACTCTGTACATATGTTACCTGCTTCATCTTCAGCAAAGGAAATGATGAACTTGCTATGGGTGCTGATCAGCCCTGGGAAGGCACAGGACGTAGTGCTGCCCAGGCAAAGATCCCGCTTCTTCCATTTCTTGGTTTTTCTATCTTCCTGCAAAGCCATAAGTCGACTAGATGAAAAATAAAACCTTATGTTTTAGGAATCCATATATCCACTCTGCAGAATACTTTTTCTCCTAGAATCAGGGACCCTTGAGTACTAGGACTGAGTCTCCCATTGAGAGATCAATAACTAGCCTCCCTCCAAGCAACCAAAAAGCTTCTTCAGAGATATTTCAATCACCCACTTGCCCTAGATGTGGAAGTTCATGTTCTATTATAAAAGGAGTTTGGGCCAGGCCCAATGGCCCACACCTGTAATCCCAGCACTTTGGGAGGCCAAGGCAGGCAGACCACTTGAGGTCAGGAGTTCAAGACCAGCCTGGCCAACATGGTGAAACCCCCATCTCTACTAAAAATACAAAAATTAGCCAGACAGGGTGGTGCACGCCTATAGTCCCAGCTACTCGGGAGGTTGAGGCACAAGAATGGCTTGAACCCAGGACGTGGGGGTTGCAGTGAGCCAAGATCATGCCACTGCACACTCCAGCCTGGGTGACAGAGCGAGATTTTGTCTCAAAAAAAAAAAAAAAAGAGTTTGATGCACTGCACTGTGTAGGCTGCACCACTACAAAAGACTGATCTTATTTTTATTAGTTGTGTGACCTTTGGATAGTTGCCCAAAATCTCTAAGCTTCAGATTCCTCATCTGTAAAATGGGGAGTGATAACGTAATTTACCATAGGGCAGAATTTTGAAGGTTAAATAAAATAATATACATAAAGATCTCACCAATGTGTGTGGCACATTGTAAGGGTTAAAAAAAAAACTACTGTTATTATTATTGCTGTATGCTTATATAGTAGCAGAAAGATGCTTCTTATCCCTCTATCATCTATCTGAACTAAAAGCAGGTTTTTAGAAGAAAAGGGAAAGGAAGTTGGTTAAACCCAGGGTGCTTGTCAGAATCACCTGGAAAGTTTTATGGAAACAGAGATCCCAAACCCAAGGGATTTTTATAAGTACACCTCAATTAAGAATCACTGCCTATGACTGGGTGCAGTGGCTTATGCTTGTAATCCCAACACTTTGGGAGGCTGAGGCAGGCAGATCACCTGAGACCAGGAGTTCGAGACTAGCCTGACCAACATGGCAAAGCCCTGTCTCTACTGAAAATACAAAAATTGGCCAGGCATGGTGGCATGCACCTGTAGTCCCAGCTGCTTGGGAGGCTGAGGCATGAGAATCGCTTAAACCCAGGAGGCAGAGGTTGCAGTAAGCTGAGACTGCACCACTGCACTCCAACCTGACTCCGTCTCAAAAATAAATAAATAAATAAAGAATCACTGCATGTTAACCAAATGATTTGCGCATGGGGGCAGTAGTGAATGGAGGTTGTAGGGAGAAAAACATAAAGAACAATGAAATCCCAAAGATCTAGTAAGTGATGATAAAGGACCTGACCAATTATTCATTTTACCCCATCTCTGTAACTAAGAATTGCAGCATAAAAATAGAACACCTTTTCTAACAGGGACTAGATTTACTCTCCCATCTTAAGCATTCCAAAACCTGCACAAGATAGAATAATAATGACTTCAAAGATACTGAAGATAGGCAATATAGGAGTATGTTCTCTGAGATACAGGAAACAAACAAGGTAAACCCTATGATTGTTCTAGCATACTACCTTGAGAGTGTCCAGCACAGAAAGGGAAAATACAGGCAAAGCCTAGCAGGCTCCTTGAGCTGAAAAGACATTGCTGAGAGTCCAGGAAGACCAATGCAGTAAGAGATTGCAGGATAGATACTGGAGAGAAGAAAATTGCACAGAGAACGAATGCCAGAGAGCTGCAAAAGGTTCCCCTGAAGTAATCGTCAGCATACTCAACAGCAGGTACATGTGAGAAAATATTTAAAAACAAAGGAAAGATTTAGAAGAAAAAGTACTTAGCATTTACTTGGGATCAGGAATAGCATAAGTAGTGAGGAATAGAACTCAGTAGTGAGGAACAGAAAGCTCTAGAAAAAGCACTACTTTGGTTCTGTTTAGTAAATAATTAGTAGCAAGACCTGAAAGAATCACACTACTTCCAAATAACTATGTCTCCAAGCAAAATTCAAAATCATTTATTGGAATACAAGAATATCCAGCACTACTAAGTTAAATTAATAATTTCTGGCATCCAATCAAAAATTACGAGGCAAGTAAAGAAGGAGGTGAATAGAATCCATAATAAAAAGTAAAATCTGTCCATCGAAACTGACACAGAACTGACGAAGATGTTAAAGTTAGCAGACAAGAACATTCAAACAATGATTCTTACTATATTCCATATGTTTAAAAAGTTATATAGAGATATGAGAGATACAAAGCAGACCCAAATCAAGTTTCTAGAGGTGAAAAATATGTTGAGATTACACACACACACACACACACACACACACACACTCAATGGGATGAATGGCTGGCTAGACATCACAAAAGAAAAGATTCATGAACTAAAGACATAGCAATAGAAACTACCCTACATGAAACACAGAGAAAAATTTTTGACACAAATATATCATCGGTGAACTGTGGAACAACTTTAAGCAGCCCAATATACATGTAATTAGAGCCTCTGAATAAAAGGAGAGAAGGGAGGGGTAACAAGATAGCAACCAAGACGGTGGAGATCCATAAGCTGAAGCTTGCTGAACTAAGGCAAGAATATCTTGCTCATGGTTTGGAGACCAAGGGAACAAAGCAAGATCTTATCCACAGACTCCAGGCATATCTTGAAGAACACGCTGAAGAGGAGGCAAATGAAGATGTTCTGGGAGATGAAACAGAGGAATAAGAAACAAAGCCCATTGAGCTCCCTGTCAAAGAGGAAGAACCCCCTAAAAAAACTGTTGATGTGGCAGCAGAGAAGAAAGTGGTGAGGATTACATCTGCAATACCACAGACTGAGAGAATGCAGAAGAGAGCTGAATGATTCAATGTACCTGTGTGCCTGGAGAGTAAGAAAGCTGGTCGGGCAGCTAGGTTTGGGATTTCTTCAGTTCCAACAAAAGGTCTGTCATCTGATAACAAACCTATGGTTAACTTGGATAAGCCGAAGGAAAGTGCTCAAAGATTTGGTTTGAATGTCTCTTCAATCTCCAGAAAGTCTGAAGATGATGAGAAACTGAAAAAGAGGAAGGAGCGATTTGGGATTGTCACAAGTTCAGCTGGAACTGGAACCACAGAGGATACAGAGGCAAAGAACAGGAAGAGAGCAGAGCACTTTGGGATTGCCTGATGAAAAGTCCTTGATACTTTCTGTTCTCCAGTGTTTTCCATTTCTCTCATTCTTCTTGGTCACATATATGCCTGAATGTACAGTCATGTGCCTACATCCTGCCTCGCAATGAGGGAGCACGTACCCCAGGTACATCCGTGAACTGCAGCAGCAGTTTGACTTAATGCTGTTTCAGCTTTAAGGTTGCTGTGTTTTTGTTCTTGGTTATGTAGCTTGTTAATAAAAAAAAAATTGAAAAGAGAAAAAAAAGGAGAGAAGGAGTGGGAGACAGAGGGAAACATATTTGAAGATATAATGGCCAAAAATGTTCCACATTTCGTGAAAACTATAAATTCACAGATCCAATAACTGCTACAAACTCTAAGCACAAGAAATATGAAGAAAACCAAACTAAGGCATATCTTAATGAAACTGCACAAAACTGATGATAAAGGGAAAATCTTAAAAAGCAGTCATAGGGAAAAAAATGAAATATTACATATGAAGGAACAAAGAGAAGTCTGGCAGCAGATTTCTCATTGGAAATAATGCAAGCCAGAAAATAGTGGGGCAACCTCTAAAGAATCAAAGAAAAAAACATGCTAACACAGACTTCTATACCCAGTGAAAACAGCTTTCAAAAATGAAGGCAAAATAAAGACTCAAAAGTGAAAAGAATTCATCACTATAGACCCCATCAACAAGAAATGTTAAAGGAAGTTCTTCAGACAGAAGAAAAATGATATCAGATAGAAATATGCATCTACCCAAAGGAATTGAGAGCATTAGGAATGATAACATTCTTATTGCCACTGTAACAAATTACCACGACTACAAATTACCACAACTTTGTGACTTAAAACAACATACACTTATTCTTTTATAGAATTGGATGCCAGAACTCTGAAACGGTCTTCACTGAGCCAAGATCAAGGTGTTGGCAGGACTGTGCTCCCTCCAGACGCTCTGCAGGAGAATCGGTTTCCTCACTCTTTCCAGCTTTTGAAAGCTGTCCCTATGCCTTGACTCATGGCCCCACATCATGTCACCTTTTCTCCCTCTGCCTTCGTTGTCACATCACTTTCTATCTCTCACATCTTCAAATTTCCCCCTACCTTCCTCTTCTAAACACGCTTGTAATTTCATTTAGGACCCACCCAGAAAATCCAAGATAGTTCCCCAAGTCATATACAATATGTTCTGGGAGCACAGTAAATCTAAAATAGAAATCAATAGCAGAAAGACCTCTGGAAAATCTTCAGGTAGTTGAAAACTAAATATCTCACTTTGAAATAACTCATGGGACAAAGAAATCAAAAGGTAAATTAGAAAATATTTTTAGCTGAATAACAATGAAAACACAATATATCAACATTTACAGGATACTGCTAAAGTAGTACTTGGGGGAAAATTTATAGCACTAAACACATATATTAGTAAAGATGAAAGGTCTTAGATCAATAACCTCAGCTTCCATCTTGAGAAACTAGAAATAGAAGAGCAAATTAAACCCAAATCAAGCAGAAGGAAGAAAAAAGAGAAGAAATCAATGAAACAGAAAAAAACACAAAAGTAATAGGAAAAAAAATCAATGAACACAAAAGCTGGTTCGTATAGAAGATCAATAAAATGGATAAACCTCTAACCAGACTGATTTAAAAAAAAAAAAGAGAAGACACAACTACCAGCTGTATCTAGAACAAGACAAGTGACATCACCATAGTTTCTATAGATATTTAAAGAATAATAAAGAAATATTATGAACAACTGAATGCCAATACATTTGACAACATAGACAAACTGGACAAATTCCTTGAAAGGCACAGACTACCAAAGCTCACTCAGAAAGAAATAGATAAACTGAATAATTAAATCTAATAAAGAAATTAAATTTGTTATTAAAAGTCTTTTCACATAGAAAACTTCAGGCCCAGATAGTTTTTCTTGGAATGAAGCACACATAAGGAAAAATAATACCTATTTTACACAAACTCTTCCAGGTAATTGAACAGGAGTACTTATTCTATAAAGCCTTTTTACCCTGATTCCAAAGTCTGACAAATATATTACAAGAAAGAAAAACTACAGTTCACTATTCCTTCATGCACATAGATTTTAAAATTTCAAACAACATGCCAACAAATTTTCAAACAACATGCCAACAAATCAAATCTATATATATAAAAAGGATGGGGCCAGGGGCAGCAGGTCATGCCTGTAATCCTAGCACTTTGGGAGGCCAAGGTGGGAGAATAGCTTGAAGCCAGGAGTTCAAGACCAGCCTAGGCAACATAGTAAGACTCCATCTCTACAAAAAAAAATTTTTTTTAATTAGCTGGGTGCCACCAGCTACTTGGGAGGCTGAGGTGGGAGGATCACTTGAGCCCAGGAGTTCGAGGCTGTAGTGAGCTATGATCGTGCCATTGCAGTCCAGCCTACATAACAGAGCAAAACCTTGTTTCAAAAAAAAAAAGATAATGCATTATGACCAAGTGGTATTTTTCTCAGAATGCAAGACTGCTCTAACAATTTTTAAATCAATTGACGAAATTCACCATATTAAGAAACTAAAAATTTTAAAAGCCCACATGATTCATCAAAAGATGAAAAGAAGCCTTTGACAAAACCCAACATCTATATCTAATACAAATTCTCAAAGGACTAGAAATAAAAGAAAATGTCCCCAGCTTGATAAAGGGTGTGTAGAAATCACCTACAGTTGACATCATATTGGTGTGATGTCACACAGTAACATCACACCAATATGATGGTGAAAAGGAATGCTTTCCCCCACTTCTACTCAACACCGCACTGAGATTAAGCTAGAGCAGTAAGCCAGTTAAAAAATAAGAGCAGGCTTCCAATTCAAAAAAAAAAAAGTAAATACAAAAAATTCGCCAGGCGTGGTGGCGGGCGCATGTAGTCCCAGCTACTCGGGAGGCTGAGGCAGGAGAATGGTGTGAACCCAGGAGATGGAACTTGCAGTGAGCTGAGATTGCGCCACTGCACTCCAGTCTGGACTCCATCTCAAAAAACAAAAAAGAAAAGGAAAGAAAAGAAAGAAAGTAAAAGTGTCTATATTCACAGACCTTCTAATAAAATTACCTTCCACATAGAAAATCCAGTAGAATCTATAAAAAAGCAATCAGAATGAACAAGGAGCTCAGCAAGGTTGCCAGATGCAAGCTCAATATAAAAAAAATTCTACATACTAACAATTAACAATCAGAAACTGGAATTTAACAAAATAACATTTACTATAACATCAAACACTAAGAGATAAGTAAATATGCAAGATCTCTACACTGAAAACTATAAAATATAGTAGCCATGTTATTCACAATATTTCATAACTGGGAATAGCCAAAATGTCCATCAGCAACACAGAGAATAGATGAATAAATTGTGGTGTATTCATACAATTGAATTTTACAAAGCAATAAAAAAGACAAATTACTGATACATGGAAACAACATTGATGAATCCCACAGACATTGCCAAGTTAAAGAAGCCAAGCACAGAAAGAAGAGTCCATACTATCATGATTCCATTTATATACGAAGTTCCAGAAACTAAGCTGTGGTGGGAGTGCCTATCTCTGGCTGCGGGGTGTGTGTGTGTGTGTGTGTGTGTGTGTGTGTGTGTGTGTGACAGAGAGAGAGAGACAATTTATTTTAGGCCTGGATGGCTACATGTACATATTCACTGGGGACGGGGGACAGGCTGGAGATCCCTTTGGCATGTTTGGAAATGCTCAGAGCAAGTAAGCTGGATGGAAGCTGGGCCCCTGTCCCTTTAAAGTGAGCCCCTGGTATGAGAGAGAAACAGAGAGAGAGAGAGAGAGAGAGAGAGAGAGAGAGAGAGAGAGAGGCAATAGAAAAGAAGGAGCCTCCTAGGGTGATGGAAGTGTTCTGCCTCTTGATATGGTTGCTGGAAATATGAGTGCATACATTTGTAAAACATCATACAACTGTGCTCCTACATGATTATATTTCACCATATGTAAGTTATACCTCAGTAAAAGTGTTCAAATAAAAAGAGAGAGAAGGGACATCAGTCCTTCCTTACCCACTCATGAAGTCTCCAAAGATATACAGGCCATTGAGATTTGGGGATTCACAACCACGATAGACATAACCTCCCGTGACTGATTTCCCCACTGCGTGGCCATAAGCATAGATTGGCAGAACATCATCTGTCCAGGGGAGAGGAAAGAGAGTGAGAGTCGTGGCCTAAAATTGAAAGCTTCAAGGAGGAAGAAGGGGACTTTTTAATGCAGTTGCCTAATTCAGTGAAGAACAGTTTACCTCTTGGTCTTCAGTAGGACAGGCAAGCAAGTAAATCATGTTTATTGTTCTCAATAGGCCATCCACAATATTTGCAAGCTTCCTACTTAACTGCTATCCTCAGGCAGAGAGGAAGCCAAAAATTCCCTCCATCTATGACGCAGTGACCTGGAAATCCACATGGCTAAGTTTTCCCTGTAGGTTGATATGGCAGATACCCTGGTTTAAGGATATGGAAAATATTGTCACAGTCTGTAAGACTGCTTTATAACTTAGAGGACAAGAAAAGACTAAGAAGTAGTAATAGAGTCAGAACACTAGAATTTTGAGCCAGGTGGAGTTTCTAAATCACACCTTGATTATTGGTGTTTAGAAAGTGTCCTGGGCTGGGCATGGTGGCTCACGCCTGTAATCCCAGCACTTTGGGAGGCTGAGGCAGGCGGATCACAAGGTCAGAAGATTGAGACCATCCTGGCCAACATGGTGAAACCCCATCTCTACTAAAAATACAAAAATTAGCTGGGATTGGTGGCACATGCCTGTAATCCCAGGAGATTGAGGCAGGAGAATTGCTTGAACCAGGGAGTCGGAGGTTGCAGTGAGCCGAGATCGTGCCACTGCACTCCAACCTGGTGACAGAGCAAGTCTCTGTCTAAAAAAAAGAAAAGAAAGTGTCCTCTTACTTGACTATATGCAGAATATCATTTCAGTGGCCTGTACCAGTTGGGAAATAAATAAAAACATACACCAATTTTGCTGTGCCAGTGGTTCTCAAAATAATATGCCTAAAATTAATGTGGGTAACTTACTAAAATACAGATTCCTACGTCAATCTCATGCCTCCAATCTACCCAAAATTCAAATTCATTAGGTCTGAGGCAGAGTCTAGGAATTCACTTTTTTAAAATAGCCACTGCCAAGATGTCACTGGTGCCAGTGAGTGGCTGGAGGACGGATTGGAGAAGCACTACGCCACAGGACACGAACAAGGCGTGATTTAAATGACCTGCAGGGCAGGACATTCAGGTTTTATTCCCCACCTCCACCTCCAGCCCACTCAACTCATCCAAGAAATCACCGAGAGAGCTTCTTACTTACCCAAAGAGGCATTGTGACAAAGTTTTTTGTCATAACATGCAAACCCTTCCTTGGCTCTCCAGCCGTAATTGCCGCCTTTCACAATGAGGTCAACCTCTTCAAACCTGTTCTGGCCCACGTCCCCACAGAATATCCGGCCTCGACCCTGGTGCGTGATGGGGTCCCCTCGGTCCACAGCACAGCGCCACATGTTCCTAATCCCATAGGCATAGATGGCGGGGTGGGCCCCTGGCTCAGAAACAAACGGATTGTCCGAGGGGACTCGGTACCGCTTGCCATCTGAGCCTGCCCTGTTCACATCGATCCTTAAAACTTTTCCCAGCAGGGAACTTCTGAAAGAAAGAAGGCCAGGAAACAGAATCAGGTAACCAAGGAAAGCACAGGACTGGAAGAGACAACCCACAAGGGCCGACTCATAGTTGATGCCAAGAGACTGCTAAGGATCACATGGGAAGATGTGACTTCTTATTTTCCTTATTTTTTTGTACCAGCAAGAATGAGCTTGAAGATTTTCTTTTAAATCTCTACAAGATATTTAAGACTGCCCCATGTTTGGCTCGAAAAGAACTACGAGGCAAAAGTTTGATGTGATCTTGGCCCATTTGACCCTGAGCAAGTTGCAGCTTCAATTCTTATTTTAATGATGAGGACAGCTTCTCTCTGATTTGGTCTAATATGACAAATTTTTAAAAGAAGCTAGTTACACTGTTTATTCTTTATTTAACAACGTGGTCAGTTAAAAGAACAGAACAGAAGTGTTTGGGAGGCTCTGCCAATGACTATGGTCTCTGGGACTGACTTTCCTCATTTGAAAGTCAGAGGAGAGTAACTGATGGCCTTGTGCCACTGCTTCCTATGATGATGAGAAATTTCACACTCAAGTAAAGGGTCTGGAATCTAATGGACACATGATAATCAGAGGCTGCTATTATTTTTAATATATTGGCCAGGTGCAGTGGCTCATGCCTGTAATCTCACATTTTAGGAGGCTGAGGTGGGCGGATAGCTTGAGGCCATGAGTTCAAGAACAGCCTAGGCAAAACAGTGAGACCCTATCTCTATTTAAAATATATTGCTAGATAAATATTATTTACCTTGCAGTATGGTTTTGATATAAGGGTTAAATGAGTTATTGTGTATATAGCGTTTAATGCAATTCTTGAATCACAGTAGGTATTTGACAAATGTTAGCTTTGTATTATTATTAACCTCAATATTTCTATTACTAGGAACAATAGAAGCCAAGTGCTTACTGGGTGCAAAGGGCAGAAGGACCACATGACCTTTGTCTAGGCAACACAGCATCACTGAGCTCTGGCGCCATATTGTGTGGGTTGGGATTCTGTTTTTTCCACTTACTCATTGTATTACCTCTGTGCCTCCATTTGCTTGTCTGTAAAATGGATACTATTATATGTATACTTCATATGATTCATTCATTCCATGTGTAATTATGGAAAGGCTCCCTTGTGCCAGGCACTGTCCTAAGTGTTGGTGATATATCAATTAACAAAATAGATATTAGATATAAATTCTTGCCCTTGAAGGTTGTTAAAACTACCTTCTCAAATGTACTTAGACCAGTGCCTGACAAGCTGCAAGCACCCAATACACATTGGCTCTCAGTAGTTAACTTCTCATGTGTCTCCAGGGCCTAGCACAGCACCTGGAACATGGTGTTCAATAATATTATTGAGTGGAATTGAATTAGATGATTAGTGTGGTGAATAATGACCTGGTGATATATATATTTTTAAAATCCCGAATTCTCCTTTACATAACACTCTGACAGTTATATTGAGCATTAATAATATTAACTACCAAAATATACTGTGTCTGAAATTTATGGAACTGAAAACCAAACATTCCTCCCATTGCCTCAATGGAGTGGACTACATCTTGCAGCATGTGATTTGAGTTTGATGCCATCCCTGCAAAAACACCGTACCAGGGGCTCACTCTGATGGGACAGGGTCCCAGCCTCCACCCAGCTTACTTGTTCTGAGCATTTCCAAACAGGCCAAAGGGATCTCCAGCCTGTCCCCCGTCCCCAGTGAATATGTACATATAGCCATCTAGGCCAAAAAGAAGTTGTCCGCCATTATGGTTTGAGGCTGGTTCTTCGATCTCCAAGATGACCCTGGAAGAGAAAAAGGAAACCATGCATTAGGATTTGACACAAGCTAAAGTTACATCCTCTTGAGATACCCAGAAATGACTGGTCCAAGCCACCAAGATTTGCCAAGTCAGCTAAGACCTGCTTCTGAGTTTTTGAAGATCACAAAGCAGGTAGCTTTGGGGCTCTGAGATGACCCTTTTTTCCTGGTATAACTCTTTCATGGCTCATTTTTCTTTTCTCTCTCCTTTTTTTTTTTTTTTTTTTTTTTAGACAGAGTCTCACTCTGCATCCAAGCTGGAGTGCAATGGTGCAATCTTAGCTCACTGCAACCTCCACCTCCAGATTCAAGCAATTCTGCCTCAGCTGAGAGCCTCCCGCAGCTGGGATTACCACCGCAACTGGCTTTTTTTTTTTTTTTTTTTTTAGCTGGAGTCTTGCTCTGTCACCCAGGTTGGCATGCAATGGTGTGATCTTGGCTCACTGCAACCTCTGCCTCCCAGGTTCATGCAATTCTCCTGCCTCGGCCTCCTGAGTAGCTGGGACTACAGGCATGTGCCACCATGCCTGGCTGATTTTTGGTAGAGACAAGGTTTTTCCATGTTGGCCAGGCTGGTCTTGAACTCCTGACCTCAAATGATTCGCCTGCCTCAACTTCCCAAAGTGTTGGGATTACAGGCATGAGCCACCATGCCCAGCCTCATTTTTCTTTCATACCATGATTTAATGAGCTGTGGAACCAGCCAGGGTAACAACCGTCCTTTTCTAGGGCTTGCCCTTACTCTCTGCCCTACCAGAATGCTCCATCCCTTCTTTCGAGCAACTTAAGAGGGGTTAATCTACCAGTTCTTTATGCTCTTTGCAATCCTCCAACCTGTCTACCATGGGAAAAGAGGCAAGGGAGAAAGGAGAAGAAGGGGGAAAAAAAGGCAGAGTGGTAGGGTGGAAAGAGCATGAGCTTGGGGTCAGTTAAAACTGAGTCTTCACTTGGCCATGCAGCCATAGCTTGATGGCCTTGTGCCACAGCTTCCAGTTAGAATGAGAAATCCCACATTCAAAGTAAAGGGCCTGGGATGTAATGGCCACATAATAATCAGAGGCTACTATTATGTTTCACATGTTGATATTATCTATAATTCTTTCTCAGACCCTTATGACTGTTGGTCCTTGCTTACCCTTTGTAAAGACAGGCAAGTATGTCTTTATTCAGGGTAACTGTAAGGTGATGGCTACATCCCATTAAACAGCCTTAACTCAAGAGTCTAACTTGGGCCGTCCTCAGTCCACAGTGACTCCTTTCTCAACAGTTGGAGTAGTTCTGTAAAATCAGTAAAATTCCCCTCTATTATCCCACAGACTTGGTGGGCATTATTTTGGAATACAGTACAGCAGCAGGCTCTCATGAGTACCTCTCACCTCTCTGATTTCAGGTCAGCTTTGTTAGGATCAGCCCGAGAAACCTTCATCTGACTAATCCGGATCTTTTCTACCTTCTTCTTGTCCAGGCACGAATAATAAATATAGAACTTGCGATTGTGGCGGAATTTGGGGTGAAAAGCCAACCCCAAGAAGCCTCTCTCATCCCCGATCCATGGGGTGGTCAACACGATGTTCTTGAGGTCCAGGAAGGGTTGCTCCAGGCGACTCCCATCAGGGAGATAGACCCACACCACTCCTACCTGCTCGGCAACAAAGAAGCGATGGGTGCCGTCCCCGGCATGGACCATGGAGACGGGGTTCCTCAGCCCGTTGGCCACCTCGCTCAGGCAGAGCTGCAGGCAGCCCCGAGGATCCTGGGCCACCATGCCCAGGTTGCGGTTGAGATAGTTGTTCCTCAGGACGTTGGGGAAGCAATAGTCCTTGTCAGAAAGATCCAGGAGGTGGCAGAATCGGACACCGTCCATTCCGTGAGACTCCTGGAGGCCTCGGTCATTGGTCAGCAGGGAGATGGCGGAGTGGCAGTTAGAATGGAAGGCAGAGCAGTAATCAGAGCAGAGACCGGGGAGATTCCGGAGGGGCGTCTGGGGGTTCTCGGCGTCATAGAGGTGGGCTGCGTAGGGCGAGCACTCCTAGAAAAGAACGCGGAGCTCAGGCTCAGCATCAGACCTGCCATACCAGCGCTTTGAGCAAGCTCACGTTTTGAGCAAGCAGAAAAGAAAAAATGGTCCTCGGGGAAAAAAGTCAGGATTCTGGAGTTTTTGTTACCAACTGCTGCTAAAACTCTTCTCTGTGATTTTCTACCCAGTTAATGCTCCTGGAAGGCAGAAAGCAGGGAAAATCTCTCATATTCACTATGCTATCTCTAACATTTCAGCCTAGTTTTTGACATGCAAAGTTTTATTAAATTATGCATGAATATTTTTTCAAAAAATTACTAAATTTCTAGATCTCTTTCTTTTTATTTTTTTAATTTTCATTTTATTTTATTTTTTGTAGAGACGGCTTCACCATGTTGCCTAGGCTGATCTCAAACTCCTGGGCTCAAGTGATTCTCCTGCCTCCTCAATATCACAAAGTGCTGGCATTTACAGGCATGAGCCACCGTGTCTGCCCAGCCTCATTTTCTTATGGATGCTGTATCTACTAAGATTTTATTTCTTTATACAAATATGAAACAATTTGGCAAAAATTTCATATTTGTTCAAATATGGTTGTTGGAGATACAGTGTTAATTATTTAATTTTTCTGTGCTTTTCCATATTTTTGGAATATTTTACAATGAAAAATAAAATTATCAGAATGGACATTGGATGTATCACTCTTGGAGATTAGGTGTCTAGCAATTTCTTCAATTATTTACTTAAAATATTTCAGTGTTTAATATATGCAAAGTACCATGCTGGAACCTATACACATTTGAATTGTGGCTATAGGGCAATGTGCCTGCTCCTTACACAAACATATGAGGACTATTTGCCCAAAGGAGTAGCTGCTACTCAGACCTCCCTAGACTATAACACTTTTTAGAAGAAAAATAGAATATTGTGAGCAGATGAGCGACTCCCAGTAGTGATGAAAGGCAGAGGCAACTGAAATTAGAAAGGTAAGAAAGTCCAATTCAAAGGGTGTCGTTTGGAGCCGTGCGTTCCAGCAGAGTTCACCTATTGGCCCAGAAGCCCCCTTCTGATCACTAATGACTCTCCTGAGCCAGCCAGCCTGCGCAGAACCATCTCATTCACCTCTGTGCTTCCATCGCTTCACTAAAGGACCAGCAGCGTTTTTCATGTATATGTGAGTTCCCTGTTCTGTCTTATTTCCTCTAATTGTAGATTGCAGAGCCAGCTTTCGGTCATTGGGCGGAGGGGAAGAAGGAGCCCAGAGATTCACAGGCTCCCCTCGGGGTGTCTGTTTCCATTTAAGACACTTATTACAGCAGCTGTCAAGAAGCAACATGACCGACCCACTCTTAAGTGTCCCCTTGCTCATTCTGTCCACTCTCGGAGAGTGGGAAAAAGAGAGAGGGGAGACTGAATTAAGGATCCAATACTAGAGAATAGAAGGGGGCTGTGGAAAGAGAACCACTACTATGGCACACTCTTATGCAGCCATTTAGAGTTTGCAAAGTTGCTTCTACTCAATTAGCACAGTAACTAAGCAGATACTTCCCTACTTTAAAGGAAGACAATTAAAGGCCATAAGGTCTCTGGCCAGGCACAGTGGCTCATGCTTGTAATCCCAGCACTTTGAGAGGATGAGGTGCGCAGATCACCTGAGGTCAGGAGTTCAAGACCAGCCTGGCCAACATGGTGAAACCCTGTCACTACTAAAAATACGAAAAAAAAAAAAAAGCCAGGCATGGTGTCACACACCAGTAGTCCCAGGTACTCAGGAGACTGAGGCAGAATTGCTTGGACCCGAGAGGCAGAGGTTGTAGTCAGCCAAGACCATGCCACTGCACTCCATCCTGGGTGACAGAGTAAAACTCTGTCTCAAAAAAAAAAAAAAAAAAAAAAGAGTCCTATGTGACCCTCCTGTTGAGTCTCTCTTACGTGCCAGGCACTGTTCTCTACATTGACTGGGATGCAGCAGTGAGTGAAACGCACAAAGTCTCCTTCCAATGGAGCATATAGTTTGAGGACCTCAGAAAACCATTAAGTAAACAAGCCAGTGCTGCTGTTACTATACTTTAGCATGGTGTGACTGAAAGGGCACAAAACTTGGAGCCTGAGCATCTAGCTTTGTGCCCCAGGATTGTTTTGCCTTGCGTAAGTCATCTAAACTCTTGAGCCCTCATCAGTAAAATGAGGATCATAACAACTGCCTGCAGAATCATTGCTGGGTACACACTACATGTGTTGGGGAAGAAAGAGGACCTTATAAATGGGAACAAATAAACATGTGTAGGATTGTTTGGCTGAAATTGTTCTTATTCCTCAAATCCCTGAAACAACAGAACTGCTGACTTTGACTTTCTGAAACGTTATGCAAGAGGGAAGGGTCAGGGGTATACATTTTTATTAGGGGAGATCTCAGAAATAAACATTCTCAGTGCTGCTTGTAAAAGCTCAGCTTCTACCCTAATGGGTATCCTAGAGTTAATTCTCCAGGAAACAGCTGAGGAGTGGTGTCCAAGAGTGTAGCCCCAGGCGGTGCCACCCAGGTGGCTGACTTTCTGGGCCTGGCTCAGCTGTAATTCTCTCCTGGACTCTGGGAAGCTCACTTAACCACTCCACATCTTGTGTGGCAGTTACAGTGGTCAGCAAGTTCAGGAACAGTGGTCATGAAGAGACGCCTGTGGATAGCCAAGTCATTGTGCTGACAAGCCCAAGGTGTCTCAGTTCAAAAGGCTGCCTGGACTTCTTGTCTGTCCTCCCCAACATCATTAGAGGGGTCCTCCCCAGGCAGCCTCTTTCATCAGCTTTCCAAATGCTGACCTCTCTCCATTAACCCCCAAACATCCTCTTCCTACAAAGTCTGTGTGTGCAGGCTACACCCGTCTTGTTTTCAGGCTGAGCTCAACCAAAACGATGCCTCCCAGGGATGTGGATTTTGGCTGTTGGGCAACCAGGAGAAGCAGAAACTGTGAGTCACTGTTACGCAGCAGCTTGCATCTCTCTCTTCCAGCTCTGGAGTGCTGGGCAGACAGAACTCTGGGGAGAGTCCCCAACCCCTGCTGCCACCATCGTGACACCAGAGATGCCCTGGCACAAATCAGCCAGGTGAGAAAGGACTGGACCCCAACAGATGCCACCACTCCCTCCCTTAACGCACTCGGTAAATGCCATGGGTATAAGTGCCTAACTCTCTGAGCACCACAGAGGATGCAAATAGTTATTTGCCATGCACTGCAGAGGGAGCGTGGCAAATAATGGCTGCTCTGAGAGCTCCAGGAAGAGTATTGCTCTCATTCTCCTGGAGCCTGGAGAAGAATCAGGGCCAGCAGAATCCCAGAGGGAGAGGTTTGGGGAACCCATGGAGACCAAATTCAGAACACGCTCATGTCAGTGTGCGCGTCCAAAGATGGCAGCTCAAAGATGAGGCACCCGGCACTTGAACTTCTAAAGGGCTGGGCTCCCAAAGCACCCTCCACTCAGGACCCACACCATGCAACCCAGCACCCAAACCCCTGGGGCTGGAAGGCACTTTTCACTACCTGGCAAAGGATGTCTTTAATGTAATCTCCACACAGCTCATGCCTCTTCAGATCAAAATATTCCATGATGTCCCAGTACCGGGCAGCGATGCGGCGGTCTTTGTGCTGGTCACAGCAGCCAAAGGACTCATAGTCAGAGCAAAACTCAAGGTGCAGAAGGGGCTGGAAAGGGGGCCCATAATCCAGGCACTGGGGGTGTCCCTGCAGCAAGCCCACCTGGCCCAATAAGAATATGAGGCAGAGGCAGAGAATGCCAGAAGAGAGCCAGGGGGCCCAGCAATGCAGACCACCACAGAGATTAGGAGTGGACATTCTCAGCATTGTGGCCTTGGGAACACTCGGGCTGCTGTGTTTGCTCAGGTTGGCTTCCCTGCCCTGCCCAAGGTCCTCCCTCTCTTCCTCTCCCCACTCCACCCCGTTTTCTCCTCCTTCCTCCTCTTCCCCGCCTCTCCCTGCTAAGGTGGTTTCTGAGCAGTGTCCCTCCTGCGGGCTCCCTTTGAAAGCAGTGGGAGGTGTCCCTTCCCCTTTCCCCCAACCCATCTAAACATGAAGCCCCACTCTAGTGCTGCTAGTGTTATGGGGGCACACCTTTGCTTAGCCAAAAGTGCAATGGTGTCAGTGGCAGAGGTGCTCGATTCCTTAAAACTGGGAAGAATTCCTGCTGTCTGTGGGGATGCCCAGAAATTCACACTTTTTTACTGTTTCTTCACAGGCTGAGTGGCCCAGAGTCAGCATGAGAACACCATATATTACATCATCCCAGACTTCACACTCTGTAGAAGGAAAGCTTCAATGGCTCCTACAGTGCTGAAGGGCCCCAAGGGGGTGGGGCATATGGAGGGGCCATGGCAGGAGGCGGGGTGTGCTGCATAACTCCTGGGATCTGGCAAGGTGTATATTTGGAATGGTAGGAAGAGAGGGCATTTCGTGAATCTTGCATCCACAGTAAGGACCAAGGAGAGGAAAGAGGACACAGTGAAGGAAAAGAAGGGGAATCTTAGTCCATGTCGCTGTAACAAAACACCACAGACTGTAATTTATAAATAATAGAAATGTATTGTCACATTTCTGGAGGCAGGGATGTCCAAGATCAACAAGGCAGTAGGGACTGGCCACGGTGGTTCATGCCTATAATCCCAGCACTTTGGGAGCCTGAGGCAGGAGGATTACTCCAGCCCAGGAGGTTGAGACCAGACTGGGCAACATTGTGAGACCCCATCTCTACAAATGCAAAAAGAAAATTGACCAGGCATGGTGGTGCACACCTGTAGTTCCAGCTACTTGGGAAGTTGCGTCAGGAGGATTGCTTGAGCCCAGGAGTTTGAGGCTGCAGTCAGCTATGATCATGCCACTGCACTCCAGCCTGGGCAACACAGCAAGACCATCTCTAAAAATAAAAAAAATAAGACATTCCAACAGGTTCAGTTTCTGATGAGGGCCCTGTTCCTCATTGATGGTTACTTGTTGCTCCCACGG